CACGAACTGCTTGCAAAATTGCCTTGCTATTTTGCTATCAATTCACGTTTAACTTCTGCTTATGTGCACTACCTGTAAAAGAGAACAACACTGATATTTATGGAGTTAGTAAGTAGAGATTGACTAGAAAACAGATGCTACTCTTCCTTGGTGGAAGAGTTCTAGTTGGTCTCATCCGCTAACTCTATCCATCTCTTAAACCGTGTTCTCTTTGTGTAAGGAGTCTTTCTCCTTATCCTATATGCAACCTTTTCGATCAGGATCAGGAGATATCATTTCTGGTAAGTTAGGTTTATCTCCTTCACTTGCAACTCACATGCTTGAGTTGATCTTCTCTGTGGTTCACTAGGATGGACCTGGTCCATGTCTGAGTTCCTTTGTCAATCTTCAAAACTCTCCTTTACTTGGGCCAACAGTTCCACTATAATTTATGGGGAAATTACCAGCTATGTCCATTTATAGGTAGCTCATTACAAAAATTGGCCGATTGATAAAATATTACAAATATTAGCCAAATTAGCCAATTAGCTATTTGTAGCAAAAAAATATCAAATTTTTGCTTTGTTTTGAGTGGGTGTTATTAGAATAGATTGGGCATAACTTAAGGAGCTTGACTTTCAGTTTTGGGATGATTTGGTGAAGTTTTGAGGTGGTTTGAATTGAAAATTCGAAGTAAAAGCTGAACATGAAAAAAAATAATATGTGTATCACACTGTGTATCATTTATGTATCACATATGTATCAAATTTGTATCACATGTATATCTATGTATACCTGTCTGTGAGATACATGCGTGATACATGTTTGATACATGTGTCGCAGAAGACTTTTTTGAACTCGATTTATTTATGAATTTTGATACAAGACCACTCCAAATCACCTCCAATCTTCCTCAAATTTTGTATATTGACTTATCTATATATTTTCAATGAATTTCAACTATACCCATTGAAAAAGTTCCTTTTTTGTTTAGATTTTTGGAATATTTGTATAGATTTTTGTATTTCATCACCTTATTTGCTACCCCATCCATTAAATTTCTTTTCCGTCTTGTATCTAATGTTGCTAATCACACTTAAAAATATGGAAGGTGATTTTTGCATGTGATTCTTTGAGAGAAAGAACCCTATTATTTGGTTTTTCAATTTTTGTTGGCTAGTTTTTGTAAGTCTATGACTAATGGCTAGAGGTTGGTAAGTTGAGATTTATTTGGGACATTTGTGTAAGTTTTCCTAATTTATGTGACATACTTTTTTTATTAGTTCGTAAATAAGGATAACACACTACATTTAAAAATACTTTAACTTTAAATTTTTTAATCCATTTTCTTCATTTCTTTATAGTCATTATTATGGAAGGTTTAATATCATAAGTTTCACATGTCTTCTAATCACAAATATTATTGCAGTTTTAAGATCACAGGGTTCAAAAGTCTTCCTTTTTTCTTAAATTGGAATGGAGAAAGTAGTATTATTGATCATCTCCCATGAAAGGGCTTATATAACTGAAATAACATTTGCAATAGAGTACAAAATCAAATCTTTCAATCGTAGATAAATAGGTCGTACTTTAAATTTTATTTCGAGGCTAGAGGATTCAGTTGGAAGGGGTGTTATGGGTAGACTTGGTTCGCACAAAACCAAAACCAATAATATATATATGAGATAATAATTCTAACAGAATCATCATTTTCACAATTAACTCCAACCAATCAAACTTTTAAATGGTAAGCGCGCATGATTACTCTTATATTTTGCATTCTTACACTACTGAAATTTCTTTTTGTTAACATCAACCAGTGCTTATACATATATATATATAACTTACAAGATCACATTGTTTATTCACAAATCACAATCAAGAAAAGCGTGCATGGCTCCACGCACATGTAATAATTAAACATAAAAGTAGTTCCATGGTATATATAGCTCTCTCCTTTCTTTGTCACTACAAAAGGTAATAGTATTAAATATATTACTGCGTCATATTACGAATAAGGACATTTCTTTCTTTCGCCAATGACTAGCTAGTAAAAGCTTGGTGAAGCTTTCCTTCTCATCCAAAGCTTGACACTAGGACTAGGAGTTGGAATAATACTACTACTACCACTAGAACCATAGCCTGCACCACTACCACTACCTTGGCCTGATCCTCCACTACCTGCAGGTCCCGGAGCACTAGCACCAGCTCCGCCGCCTCCACCACCGCCACCTCCACCGCCTCCACCAATTCTTCCCCATCCAAAACCGCTACCACTTCCAGAGCCATAACCGCTTCCTGTGCCACTTCGTCCTCCACCTTCTCCTCCTCCACCTCCACCACCACCGATAAAAGGTGATGGCGCAGGAGTAGTTGGGAAAGGAAGAGGTACTAGAGGAGGAGGAGCACCTGAAACTTGAAAAATACTAGTGTTCATCATGAGGAAAAAGGCTAATGTTAACAACAATAATATTCTAGCCATGTCTCTGAACTCTGAAGATCACTTTGACAGCTTAAGAATATGGCTTAATAATTGTTGAGCAGACACTGTATATATGTAAAACTACCTCATGGGGGTGGACAAGTATGAGCATATTTTAAGACCCAAAACCGGCCATTTCTTCAGGTAAAGTGACATAATCTTCGCCGTCTTAGCTGCTATAGTTGACACCAGTACTATCTTGATAACCCCCTAAACATGCCTTATTTCATCTACTTATTGAATATGTATGAAGTAACTTTTAGAGTTAGAGTAAGGTTCTACGTTAGATTAGTATAGAAAGGATTTGCACGATATTTAATATATTATAGCAGCGATAGATACTATCATAGAAAAAGAAGAGGTGGCCCGAATAATGAATTTTTCAAAAATATGATCAGAAAAATGAGAAAAATAGAGTTTTTCAAAAGAAAAAGAAATCCGAATTAGGCATAAGTTTCATTTTTCTTACCATGCATGATATTATATCAGACCCTATCTAATTGGTTTATTCAATTTTAGGCTTCCATGTCATATTGTCTACGCAATTGCGCGGATCCAGAATTTTAAAGTCGTGGGTATTTGCCGATAAAAATTCTGAAAGAAGAGGAAAAAGGAGCTTAGTTGTGGGTTCACTCAATATTTATCTAAATATTTTTATAGTTGCCTCTGAAATTTTACTAATCTTTCAAAGATAATGGGTGCTTGAGCCCCCACAAGTGGTCATGTAGATCCACCACGGTGTCTACGCTCTAAATGTCTAAATCTACTCAGTGCGAGGATTGTTAGAATGTCTTACATTGGTTTAGCGTATGAATTCTTTTCTCATAATTATATGTTCTTGGATAATAATCACATAACGAGCTAGCTTCACTTAGGTCCAATTTAAGGTACATATATAGCTAAGAAAGTTACTGTCATCGCCTCTAATTTCTACCTTGAAGTGTCCGCCTTAATTAAATTGATTTGAGCAAAACCGAACGTCAAATTAAATTTATACATAAAGTCCACTTGAAATATGAAATAAATAAATCTAACAAATAGAAACTATCCTTTCACACTCAAAAAATGAGGATGATAATGCACGGTGTCTAAACTAGTTCAGTCGACTAAATTACTTCCTCTTAATAAGTTAAAATTGGTACAAAGTCAAGATTGAATTTCTAGGTGTTTGTTATAACGTGTGAATTAGCTTTCTCTCCCCGCAACGATAAAGGAAAGCAAAAGAAGAAAGAAAGAAAAAAGTTAAGGAAAAAAAAGTGTTGGTGTGTTCACTAATGCGTTACAAAAGAGAAAGGGATGCACAAGAATCAAGTAAAACTGTGGGTACTGGAATTGCATATTCCATTGTTTTCAAACTGTGGAAAAAAAATTAATCCGGAGGGAGTTTAGCAATAAAATTAACACAAGTATTCCCTAGTTGAATTGGTAAAATATTAATTAGTCTCGCAGTAATTTGGAAAAGGTCTTTTTTAATGGATCACTAATCTTCTCTACATCATAGGATGTACTCCAAAGGCGTGATTTCGTCAAAGTTTCATCTCCCTCTGCTATGGACTAATTATAGTTGAAGCAATTTCATTTTACAAGATACTTAGAATTTAGAAATTATATGTATTTCATTTAAGGAATATTCTTTAATTAAGATCTATACAACTAATTAAGCGCACCAATCAAATAAGTTGAATCATCAAAATAGCATGTATGAGGGTTAAATTACCTAAGTACTTTTTAATTACTGCATTATATCAGTCACTTAGAGTCAACTCCAGATTATTCTGCTAGAATTTTTCTTATTTCCTTACTTTGAACATGTCATATCGCACTTTAACTAAAAGATTTTCGGGGGAATTTATGAATCAGCCAGCAAATAGAAAATGGGCTTCAATGGGATTTATATCCTATAGTTTCGCGAAATCTTAATTAATATGAATTATGATATTACTTGACTGCAGCTTAATTTATATGACACTTGATAGGCATGCATCATTAGTTCATTTTAATTTATGGATCGTAGAGAAAAAATTTTAGTGAATGGTTTGAAATGGCATCTCATATATTCTTTTTATTCCAATTTATGTGACATTTTTTGCTTCTAGAGAGATTCAAACTATGTAAACTTTGGATAATATTTTACAACGTATTTTTTCGTTATATTGATATGAGAATAATTGTAACTTATAATACTTTCCATATAGTTTTAGAATATCCAAATTTTAATTTTAAAATATTGAGTTACTCTATTAATTGTGTGTTTAGAAGATTTTTCAAGTCAATCTCCTAGTGCAAATGTTTGTATAGCCTTTGACTTGTTCAATGGAGAAAATGAGATTTCCTTCATTTCGACCAAAGCTTATCATTTACATGATTTATCCGTGAGACTGTGATGCATCGTATCTAGAATAATCTTGCTCTTTGTTTTCTTTTTTACATTTCTATTCCTCACAACATTTCCATAATTGTAATTAAGAACATGCATATTTTCAAGTAGAAAAGACTATGACCACATCCACGTACTTCGAGTAGAAATAGAGGAGCAATATTTTTCAGCCAGAAACAAAGATGATAAATTAGAAAAACAAGACAAACCAACAATTAGAGTGACTTGAAAATTGAACCTAATACAACCTAAACCCAGTACAACCAAATCCTAGCTTAGGAACAACACTAGATAACGCAGTGAACTAGGAAATTAAAATACTACTAATACTTGGAAACTTCAAAACACTAAACGTACACTTGACACAAACATAGGAAAATTGGACATGCATGCAACAAAAAGTTTCTAGGGTTTAATACCACCAATGCCACCAAGACCACCAACTCCACCACCAACACCTAGACCACCAACACCACCAAGTCCTCCGGCACCGCCAACGCCGCCAGCTGCTCCGCCAATGCCACCAAGCCCGCCGAGCCCTCCAATTCCACTGACACCGCCTATTCCACCTCCGACACCCATGCCGCCGCCTATTCCACCAAGAGTTGGCAATACACCAGCATAGCCACCAACTCCTGCCCAGCCACCAACGCCACCAAATGTCATGAAATTCTTTTGGTCATCAAGTCCTTCACTAGGGGTTGGAGCTGTACTTATAACCTCAGTGTTTACGGTTAGATCCTGAGTCTGAACCTAAATTAGGAACGACTTTTGTTAGAAACAGTAGTATATGAGATGATGCTACACTAGCCATAATATACATATAATATTTCATATATGAGTTTAACTTTTATGCACTAATAGTTATAAAAAAAAAAAAGATTAATACTATGATGTCACTACGCCATCCATAAAAAGTGTGAATGAAAAGATACACTATCTATCATGTCACTGATAACATGAAAAGATAACTATAGTGTCCCGTCCATAATGTTACATTTCTTACTTTCTTATAAAAGGTTAAATCAGTTATAAATTAAATCTTTATACATACAGAAGTAACATTATCCTTGTTAACAAAATAAATTAAATGAAAACCTGAGTCTGAGGCACGTTTGGTTTGGACACTTCAGGAATATTTCTTGCTGTTGCATTGACTAGTACAAGTCCAAACACAAACATTACGTACCAACTTGCCATTTTTTCTACTCTTACCTCTCCCTCTCTCTACACACACACACACAATGGGATAAGTTTTACTTCTGCTGCAGTGTGGTAAGGAAACAAATGGTGATGAACAGGGGTTCTTAAAGGAGGAAAAGAAGGGAGAGGACAGTTGTGAGAATTGAAGAAAGGGGCAAATATAGTAAATGAAGGGTATTAAACGCAGCCCTAACAATCTCGAGAGTGGCATTCTTTCTGTATTGCAGTGTTAGGTAGATAAAAAGAAGGGATCATTTAACGTTTTAATGTCAACTCAATAAACAACAAATATCAAACAGTATATGTTTTTATGCCTCTCACGTTATTCAAGCCATTCAGGGGCCATGCATGCAATTCTTACATGCTCTTTGCGCAACACTTGTTGCATCGTAATTAGGCCACATGACCAACAATATATTTCTAATTAACGTGTTAAAATTACGTCAGATAATATAATAAGTCAAGTTTATGATGAATAATTTTATAAATTCAAGGCAAAAGATTGTAATATGAAGTAATCAATTCAAAAATCGTGTGACACTATCCTCAATTGCCTCAACCATTTCTGCCATATCTTTGGTCACAAGATTAACTATGAGACAAAAATCTAAGATTATCTTTTCCAAAAAATGTTGCAAAGATACTATGCACAATATTTTCTGTATCAAGACATGTCAATATTTTGGAAAGTACTTAGGTTTTCATATTCTTACTAACTCTCCTAAGCCATCTGATTATTGTTATATATCCTTGACAAGTGTTGAATGTGTGTGAACAAAGTCCCATATGAAAAGTAGAAAGGAAAAAGATTCTGTTTATAAGGAATTGGACTTAATGGTATGATGCCTTTTAAGGAAAATCGTACATTGGCCCAAAGCGAATGATATCACACTATATTAAAAGTATCTTTGGATCATTTTCCTCCAACAAACAAGATGTGGGCTCTCCAAAATTGGAGAACTAAATGTATGAATATAGCTGGTAAGACTAGACTTGTATTCTCCACTCTTGCAGGTATTCCTTCTCATGCAATGCAATACTTTACTACCGTCCTCTATTTTAACACAACTATCCAGATTATAAAAATAAATGGAGTATTAAGCACTTGCAAATGTAAGTTCCTAGGCCATGTGTTTAGCTACCTCAAAATGGCGGTGATGAGACTAATTAATAGGTACGTGCAGGTTCAATTTCCATTACTTTTAAATCGATTGCCTCTAATAGAAACTGTGTAAATATTGTATTTTCTAGCAATTAATATTCTATAAATACCTCCTATTTTGTGGATCAGAAAATCATACTATGAAAGCACTAGTAAGTATATTATTCTTGAGATGTTGTGAGAAGAAACTAGAAATTCACAACGAAAATTGGAATGAATCTATTGGGTATAGGGAATCTCAGAAGAAGCTACCACATTTGTCAGGCCCATTAAAGGGAAACAAACGAACCAGAAAGCTAAATTTTTTCTGTAGGTGACCAGCTAGATGGTGCAAAAGATTGCAGTGAACTTACAAAACTTTGAACAGCAAAATATTTTTGTTGACTGATCTTCGAACAATCAATTAATGAAACTCCAACTGTATCCTAGTATTGTAAGTACTGTACTTTGCTTTACTATCATATATAGTTGTGGTGAGATAGATGAAATTCCTCCACCCTTAAACAAATATCAAGTCGCGATGAATTTAAAATTCAAGTTCTACGGATTCAATCTTTAAGTTTCTTATCATTAAATTCATTGTATTCGTTATGAATTCAAATCTATTACATGATTTGCACAATTAAATTTAAGTTTCGCGTTGAAAATACTTGGTTCAGATGAACTTGGTGCCTAATACAATATTTGCCTCGCAACCTATGGTCTCAGGTTCGACGCCCCAGAATGTAATAAATCTTGGCATGGGAAGCTTGGGTCTATTGCGCGAAGCCAATCCTAATTAATCGGGCCCCCAAAATGAGTCAAAATAGTACGGGCTAGCCAGTTTTCGTACTGGTAATTAAAAAATAGCTAGCGGTTGCAAAGTCATTAAAAAATAGCCACTATTTTGCTGCAACACGGAAAGTTACAGCATAATATACTGGAGATTGGAGCACTTGTGTATGGACTTCGAACATATTATGTTGGAACTCCAGCATATTATGAAATTCCAGCATGTTATGCTGGAAATTCACATGTAAAAAATTCGAACTCCAGCATATTATGCTAGAATATTTTCCGTATTTTGAACAGTGTTTTTATTCAGATTATCTTTTACATGAAAAGTGGCTAAATTTTGATAACTTTTTGAAACTGTGGCTATTTTCAATTATGGCTTGTAAATTTGGCTATTTTTTAATTTTACAAATACCAGATATCGAGTGGGAAGCCCAAGAAAATTGTTCTCCACTTTGCATTATCTGCTCCTTTAAGTTTTTGCTCACTTCAAGCTGAAATAGTAAAGGTAAAATTATATATCTCACTTAATTATATTTCACTAATTAAAATAGTAAAGATAAAAATAAAAATAAAATAGTATTCCTATTATAGAAATTTTTAATTCTTTAGAACGACGAATACTCTAAAACAAAATCAAGTTACCAAAAAAAAGACTAATATTTGGAACCGAAACACTTGTTCTTGTGGACTGATTTCATTTTTTTTTTACTCGTTTTGGTGAAAGAAAAACCCTTATGGATTGATCGGATTGTGGTTGTTGAGTTTCGAACCCGGCCACGGATGCTGAGGTGGCCGTACCTAAAGTGGTTCCGGAACCTCCCCTGAAAAACTTCATCCCTGGAGGCTGCTCTATTGAAAATGACTTCAAGGTCGAAAAGATCTCCAGTCAACAGGATCGAGGCGAGGAGGTATGGAGGTACATATGCTACCGAGGATATGCTCCCTACAGTTCGGGAGGACTGCAATTGGGAGGGCAAAGAAGTGATCGTCCCTGGTCCCGATGAGGACATTACCACTCATATGGAGGGGTATCTAAGTGTTTACACTTACCCCTTCACACTTGCCCCGGTGGATCTCATAATCCTTAACTTTTGCAAAGGGTAAGAGGTCTGCCTCGGGCAGATTCACCCATCCTTTAGGAGGATCATACTCCTCCTCCGCCACTTTGTCAACAACACTGAAGCGCCTCAATTAACCATCGACCACCTGCTAAGTCTCTACAATCCCCGAGTTTTCAGAGGGGGGTTAATCAAGCTCGTTCGTTGGGCAAGGAAAGATCTGTTTTCGAGTATTGATGAAGATAGGGATCAAGGCTGGAAGGGGAGATTCGTTCGGGTAAAAACCGAGAATCTCACCTACTTCTTGCCTTTCCTTGAAAAGTGGAACTTAGCCTATAAGTTTCTTTCCTTTTTGAGTACTTAGAATTTCTTTTGTTCTTCTTTCTTATTGCCTGTTTCTACCATCATGCAGCGGTTGACCGAGTCCCAAATGTAGGTCCCCGCTTCAAAAAGTGGGTCGAGGGGATCTGTAAACAACTAGCATACTCCAAACGCGAATGGCGCAAACTCTCAAAGGGCAAGTGGCAGGCCCGTTCCCATGGTGTGTGCCCCCCCTCCCGGGACCAAGTCTACTCTCATACTCAACTGTCATTTCCACTCAGTCCTCTTTCTTTCATAGGTTTGCCCAAGACCACTGAGCTTCAGGCATTCAACGAGGATGAGGCTCTGTCCTCACTCGATAAACCCTCCGCTTCGGGATAGCCTGAAGCTGCTGCAAAGGAGGAGAAAAGAGAAAAAAGAGGAAATCTTCGGGCTCCCCGTACGTGGACGCCGAGGCTAAGAAGAAGAGGGTAGTCATTCGAGTTCGAATGAGGAACAAGAAGAGTACCCGGGCCAGGGTACTGGGCCCTGACTCCCTTTTCCTGCACAGGGATTACCCTGAAGATGACAATCTGGAGTTTGTTTCCCATGGGCCGGCCGCCGATGAAGAGGAGCGGGCGATGACCGGGAGGTTGACCCCTCCTTGGCTCGAGAGCCCAAAGGAAAACCAATGGCTGTGGCATCCCAAGAAGCTTCTCCTGCCCCGAGGGAAGCCGCAGGTGTTATTGACATTGCGGAGTCGCCATCTGATACTGAGTCATTATTTGACGAGGCTCAGGATGTCAAAAAAAGCCCAACTATACATCCTGGTTCGCAGACGAGGCCCTCAACCTGTTCTTTGAGGGCACGGACATTGGCACGTTAGAAAATTATTTCGGGTTCGGTCATCTAGAGATCGCAAAAAAAGACGTGTTGTCAAAAGCAGGTGGGTCGAGATCAAGCCCAAAGCTGGTAAAGCAGTTCCCTGCTCTGAGTGTGGATCCCGGCAGCAAAAGAAGGGTCGTATTTACGATCCCAGCAAATACTCGGGTGCTATGCAGACCCGTTAGAGTGCCCAGCTATCTTTGCTGTTTGGTGATTGAAGAGGACCAGGCAAGGATGAACAAAGTGAGCACACCGGGCCTCTTCAACGAGGCACAACAAATACTCAACCGGGTATGTTTCCCTTTCTTTATGTCTTTCGTGTAGTTTATCTAACCTTAGCGTGTCTTCATGATCTCATTAGGTTTTTCTCAGGCTTTGGTGCTCCATCATGAAAGCTTCCACCGGTCTCGGGTGGAAGTCAGCCAGCTCAAATTTGAGCTCAAGGAGCATGCTTGGCAGAAGGACATGTACAAGGCTCTCAGCGAGCAAAAAGACGAGGCCCTCAAGGATCTCCTTATTCTCCAAGCCGAGCTGGAAAAAGCTCAAAGGGAGGCTTCGTCTGTGGAACGGAAGAATATGGAACTGGTTGAGAAGGTAAGGATATTTGAGATTAATAATGAGAGGTTGATCTTAGTAGCTAACGATACAACCTCGCAGGTCCAAGAGAAGGTAGAACTGATTGAATATCTCCGGGCCAAGATGAATGAGCTTAAAGCTTCGGCTAAGACGTTGAGGGACAGGATAGCCCTTCTGGCCTTGGAAAAGGAGGCCACCAAAGAGGAGTTGGGATTGGTCAAGGACCAGCTCCGGGTGATGAGGGAAAAGGCCGACAAGTGGTCTCGGCTAAATGATGAGCTCGAAGCTCAACTAGGTTC